ATCACAAGCATGTGTCCAGATTAAATAAGATAAAGCTAGAGCTCATCATTCTCATTCTATCAACGGCTCATGAAATCAGTTAATATTACCCATTTTAGTCTACCTTCCTCAGATAACCAATATCCATACTAATGTATATGATTGATTCTCCATAATAGCAGACGATCTTGTATTGTCTGTAAAGTAAATGAAGATTAGTTTATTTACTAGCAAACAAAACAGTAAGAAAGCTATCTCAACTCTCAAGCAAAGCATAAGTTGTAATTCCTATTGGGAAGTGAAAAATATAGGAAAAAGAGAAGCAATGCTTAAAAAAAAAAAGAACTGTGATACTCAATATCTAAAAGCAGAGAAGCTTTGCCTTCTACTCCGTAAAACAGATGAGGGTTAAGCATCGAGGTTTGACAAATAACAGGATGGAATTGGAAAAAAAAATGCTAGGAATATTTAAATTTCAACAACTTTTTTTAATATAATTTTATTTTCAACATTTCATAAATGAATTCTCAATTATATTCATAGAAAAAAAGCATTAAGAGCTCGTTATTCGTTTGTTATTTGGAGCATTTTAAAAAGATATCTCCATAATAGTTGAAATTTTAAAAATCTGTTCGCTATTTATTTTTTTAAGAAAATATATCTGCAAGTTTATTTTAGATCAAAACATTCCCATTTTTATGCTTCGTTTGGGATGACTTTTTTACTATTTCTTAAAATAACTTTTTAGTTAAATTTTTTTTAATTAAAAATTTTTGTACTAAAAAGCTGTTTTAGAAAATAATGAAAATTTTTTTCCAAACGAAGCCTTAATATCGAACAGTTTATTTAATGTCCTTAAAAGACATAAGCTCAAAGAAGATTCGAATAAGGTTTTAATATGGTTTGAATCATATTCCAATAAGATTACGATCATGTTCGAATCTTGTTTGAAGATCATTAGGATTCAAATCATTCTCATCAATATTAAGAAAACAACTGAATCATAGTTAATACAAAAAAAAAAAGAGATCAAACTAAACTAATCAACAAAAAATATGATATATATTGAGATTAAAGCTTCATTTGCGTCAGCTTTTTGTTAAATTTCTTAAAACAACCTTCTAGTACAAAAATTAATATTTTTGTACTAGAAAATCTGCTTTAAAAAAGAATAAAAAAGCTGTTCCAAATAAAGTCGGTGACAACTTGTGACCACTATTTTTTCATTGTTTTTAAAAAAAATTTGTGCTAGAGAGTTGTTGTAAAAAGTAATAAGAAAACAATCTCAAACGAAGCCTAAAGAGCAAAGGCCTACAAGATTTAAAACTCTTATGATCATTCAAACATGTTGCGTATGTAGAAGGAAAAGTATTTGGGATAGGAAATTTGTTGCAACTCTAAAATAATTGTTGCAGCCTTTGAAATATGTGCAAGAACATGTGTAATTTCAATTTGTAATTATGAATTTAGCGTCCAAACTGAAAACTAAAGGAAAATTAAAAGTTTTCTAGAAGAAAGAAAAATTCCAATGGCCAAATTTAAAGAGACAATTAAAAGGTCCACATTTACATTGATTTTCAACAACATATTTGTCAAATACTAATCAATGTAAAGCTCAACAATGTCAACTATTATGTCATTGCCTCAAATGTTGAACTTGATAATGACATTAGCCTTAAATATTCAAATGATTTGTTTCCAGAAAAATTATTTTGTCCAGGCTGTCCGGACAGCGTACCGAGAGTACTGAGTGGTACCGCGGTCAGTACCGAGCGCGGTACCGAGCGCCCAGTGATATGGCGTGTTTTTATTGGTCTCTGGACACGTTCGGTATCCGGATCGATGCAATAATCACTCCTTTATACATGACCCGAGTAGTATGACGCCACTCTACATGTATAATTAATGTGAACATATGCATACCTTATTTAAATAATTATCATTGCAAAATACAATAATATCATGTTCGAATAAT